TAAAGGAGATATCTGCCCACCAATCAGTGTTCTCAAGCGCTGACAAAATTCTGAAGAAAACAGCAATAAACTAAGACCTGGAGGACTGCTTAAACAATTAACTGCATAATATCAACAACAAGTTGAGGTAATGAGGTTGGATGCCTTATAAAGGAGACTAAAGAGATCAAGTCATCTGAGAGAGAATTATTAATCCTTTCTTTATCTCCTGCAAGCATCCAACTTAGATTCCAGACCCCCAATTTTTCAGCCTAAATACCGGGGAGATTTTCCCTTTCGTTAAAACATGTTTGTGACATATAAATTGTTCTAATTTTTTTTTCACTATTAAATCACAAAACAAGAATAGATATTACTAGTAACTCGTTTAAACAGCTTAAAATTTCCAATGACACCAAATTAATAATCACGTTAGCAACATTTTTTTGGTAATGTTAAAAAAGGCACTGAATAAACAAACTTGCGGGGACGGGAGCTGTGTCTCGACCCTGCAACCATAAACAGATGATTACACGCACAGAACCTCTCACTTGAGGTACACAGTAACTGAATAATATCTACGTTATATACCGCTTTCAGATTTCTGAAGGATAGATTTCAGGAACACCAAATAAGAACGTCAGTAAGTTAGAAAGTAAGTAAGAAGATGGAATAACCAGAGGAGACATGATCACGATGTATAAGGTATTAACAGCACACAGAATTGACAACAAACAGAAAAGGGGGACACAACATGCAGTAGTAGTAGTAGTAGTAATATTATTAATAATAATAATAATAATAATAATAATAATAATAATAATAATAATAAATAGCAATAATAATAATAATAATAATGATAATAATAACCTGTCGTCACCGGCCCAGCTGGTCAACTACTCAGCAAAATCATCCAAAAAAGCGAACCAGATTTGATAGGTCAGAGGTGTCCCCAAACTGGCCACCCAGTCCTCTTCACTGCCACCCATCCAGCACCTCCCCGCCCAGCCACTCCCCGCTACTCCCCGCCAGTCCTCACACCACCCTCAGTGTGTTTAGAAGGGAGAAAGAATAGTTCCTTTTTTTTTTAAGGCGTTGGCTGTGTGTACTCACCTAGTTGTACTCACCTAGTTGAGGTTGCGGGGGTCGAGTCCGGCCTCCACTACATCGCTTCCCAAACTATTCCACTTACTGACTACTCTGTGGCTGAAGAAATACTTCCTAACATCCCTGTGATTCATCTGTGTCTTCAACTTCCAACTGTGTGTGTGTGTGTGTGTGTGTGTGTGTGTGTGTGTGTGTGTGTGTGTGTGTGTGTGTGTGTGTGTGTGTGTGTGTGTGTGTGTGTGTGAGTGTGTGTGTGTGTGGTGAGTGTGTGTGTGTGTGTGTGTGTGTGTGAGTGGTGTGTGTGTGTGTGTGTGTGTGTGTGTGTGTGTGTGTGTGTGTGTGTGTGTGTGTGTGTGTGTGTGTGTGTGTGTGTGTGTGTGAGAGAGAGTACTCACCTAGTTGTACTCACCTAGTTGAGGTTGCAGGGGTCGAGTCCAAGCTCCTGGCCCCGCCTCTTCACTGGTCGCTACTAGGTCACTCTCCCTGAACCATGAGCTTTATCGTACCTCTGCTTAAAGCTATGTATGGATCCTGACTCCACTACATCGCTTCCCAAACTATTCCACTTCCTGACTACTCTGTGGCTGAACAAATACTTCCTAACATCCCTTTGATTCATCTGTGTCTTCAACTTCCAACTGTGTCCCCTTGTTACTGTGTCCAGTCTCTGGAACATCCTGTCTTTGTCCACCTTGTCAATTCCTCTCAGTATTTTGTAAGTCGTTATCATGTCCCCCCTATCTCTCCTGTCCTCCAGTGTCGTCAGGTTGATTTCCCTTAACCTCTCCTCGTAGGACATACCTCTTAGCTCTGGGACTAGTCTTGTTGCAAACCTTTGCACTTTCTCTAGTTTCTTCTCGTGCTTGGCTAGGTGTGGGTTCCAAACTGGTGCCGCATACTCCAATATGGGCCTAACATACACGGTGTACAGGGTCCTGAATGATTCCTTATTAAGATGTCGGAATGCTGTTCTGAGGTTTGCTAGGCGCCCATATGCTGCAGCAGTTATTTGGTTGATGTGCGCTTTAGGAGATGTGCCTGGTGTTATACTCACCCCAAGATCTTTTTCCTTGAGTGAGGTTTGTAGTCTCTGGCCCCCTAGACTGTACTCCATCTGCGGTCTTCTTTGCCCTTCCCCAATCCTCATGACTTTGCACTTGGTGGGATTGAACTCCAGGAGCCAGTTGCTGGACCAGGTCTGCAGCCTGTCCAGATCCCTTTGTATTTCTGCCTGGTCTTCGATCGAGTGAACTCTTCTCATCAACTGTGTGTGTGTGTGTGTGTGTGTGTGCGCTCCTCACTCTTGAGAGGTGAGAAGAAGACAAAGAAGAAGAAGAAGAAGAAGAAGAAGAAGAAAACGAAAAATACTGTCATACCAACTAACTTCACCTAATTATCCTTCACTTTGACTTCTTATGCCTTAAAACATTCCAATTTTCATTTAATTTTTTTCTCTTACACTGTCATTTTTTTCTATTTATTATTTATAAAAAATAAAGACAGCCTTTTATCTGCCTAATATTGTATATACCATTTTGATTATATTATACAATTTTTTCCATAAAAGAGAAATGAAAGAATCTATAAATACGTAAATTAATATATATATACACGGGAAGGTGTATATATATATATATATATATATATATATATATAATATATATATATATATATATATATATAATATATATATATATATATATATATAATATATATATATATATATATATATATATATATATATATATATATTATATATAATATATATATATATTCAGTGTATATAGGCTGAGAGTTTACCTTAATTAGTATTTTGGGGATTAAAATATCCTCAAATAACAAGAAAGGCAGAATACCGTGACTGGAACAATACATAAATAAACAGCACATAGGAGAGGGGAGCTTACGACGACGTTTCGGTCATAATGTGACTTTGTAAATGGTTCAAGGCGAACCGAAACGTCGTCTCTCTCCTATGTGCGGGTCATTTGTGTCCAAAGACTTTAAGATACATTAATCAGTCTTTTCAAGACTGATGGACTGATTACATCGACTCCAGGCTGAGGGACTGATTACCTCAAACTCCTGATCTTCACCATTCTTCTTTGTATAGGACTGATGAAGCCACTGTGTGGCGAAACGTTTCCACAACAAAGATACCCAAGTGTTGCACATATGTCTAATTTATCAACTTGTCGGGTCTCTGAACCATTTACCTACAAAAGTTATTCTTTGTTATATAACCTTCAGGGAGCTGTCAACGATCACTGACTGACCTCGTATACACGAGTATAGTGGAACTCCGGTTTTCGCACGCTCCAGTTATCGAACGTTTCGGTTTTAGAACCATTTTTTGTGCGAATTTTGTTCCGGATATCGGACCTTGATCCGGTTATCAGACGTATACGCATCCGCATATAACACATCAATACTTCATTATAGTTTAGTGCTTCATGATAGCAAGTCACAAGTAGCAAATACTGAATGAGAGTTAATTTCACAAAAATATACCATCGTTCTGCCTGACTATCAAGACAAACAATGGTGCTTCAGAAATCGTCTTCGGTGTGAAAATGGCCGGCTTAAATTATTGAACCAAACCATGTACTTTGAGAGGGACTTTTATCAATAAGGTATAAAATTTTATTTTATAGATTATTTTATTTCATTAATGTTATAAAGGCTAAATAAAAGAGTATATAAGAAGTAATTATGAACACATGGGGTTCGGAAATCATATAGGATTTTCCTGTCAGCATCTTAGGGATGTTCCTGACTACATGTAGGCGTCATGCTTTCAACACCGAAGGATCCTGGACCCACCTACAAGCGTTACATAGGGCACTACAAAGTAGTTGAGTATTACACAGTTGTAGCTAAAACAACAATACAGTCTGGGTAATATATGTAGCTACAGTCCTGGTCAAGAAATCTAGAGTAAATAATCTACGTAAGTGCAGTGTAAGTTCTAACACTGTACTTACACTGTACTTACACTGTACTTACATAAAGTTTCAGTGTAAAACATCCTAGATTTTACTTATCTTCTTTGAACATGTGTGGTTATGTTCTTCATTGTTATCCGACTCGTAGATTTTGTCGGACGTAATTAATCAAAACTTGTAGAGTGACGCAGAAGCAACATGATCTTTAAGACAGGCTACAACAAAGGCCTTTAACCTTGTCCACTCCATAATGTTTTGCCAGTAGAACAAAAGAATGGAAAAGGATATATATATATAAATATAATATATATATATATATATATATATATATATATATATATATTATATATATATATATATATACATGTGAAAAGTGTGTATACAACATACATATTCGAATTCTCGAATACTATTGTGTTGACGGGGCTGCATTAAACCCGAAAGAGTCATACAACATCTGGGGAACAGGAGGTAATCAGGGTCGACCCAAGTAAAAAAAAGACATCTCCAACTCCTTGAATCAATACTCTTTCCCCGGCATCGAGGCTCCGCCCTTGAAGGGATGGGTGGTAGAATAGAGAAAGAGAAATTGTGTAACGGGAAGCTAATGATTCAAGATTTAAAGCGAGGCCAAGAGTATTGATGAGTCCATTATCTCTCCTTTGAACTGTGTCAAAAGTTTTGTGGCGAATCTTTGCGACATGTTTTTTTTTTTTTTTTTTTTTTTTTTTTTTTTTGTAATTCATTTTAAGCGCTTAACCCATGTGGGTCATTCAGCGCAAGACGTGGTGAAGGTTTGATCCTCCGTCTACTGAGCTCCTGACAGACGCGCTTCCTATTTGTACTCACCTATCCTTTGCGACATGTTAGATTGTAATCAAAGGATTATGAGTCCTTCGTGTGTAAGAAAGGAGATTTGAAATATCTTCTGATACAAAAAAAAAAAAAAAAAAAAAAAAAAAAAAAAAAAAATTCTTTTGTGTACTATTATTCGCTTATTACATCATCTCAGGCGGCTGCTAGAGTTTGGTTTCATCAACGTCTATGATGATTATGTCCTTTCCGAAAAGTGTTGTGTCCCTCGAGTTGGTTCTTTCTGGGTCAGTGTGATCTTCCTGCTTCCTCGTGTCCTGAGAGTCGATGTTCAGCCCGAGTTTCTCCCTCTCCCTCAGCGCAGAATCTGAAGCTCCAGGAGGAGTTTCCATCGCTGAAGTTGCTGTAGCGGACACTGAGGCTTCAGTTGATGTAGGAATTACTGGGCTTGCGTTGCCTGTCACTTCTTTACCATCAGCTTTATCCACTTCATTTATGCTGGGTTTCTGAGATGTCTTACTCACTTTTTCTTGTGAACACATGTCTCTCTCCGACTGCACCTCTGACTGAATGTTTACTTGTAGGTTCTTAGAAGCAGTGGCCTCAGAGACAGAATGAGAGTAGCAGAGGCCACTTCTGAAGGAATGATACTTTGAATGGTAAATATCAGAAGTTGTTTTCAAGGTGTCGTATCTTAATGTGCGAGATGTCGTCTCGGTCCTCCCACCAGCCACGTACTCTAAAGTAGAACTTGGGATAAAAATACTGGGTGAGGGCGATGGTCCGTCTGACTGAGAATCACGCAGGACGCTTTCGTCAGTCGACTCGCTGGTATCTGTCGAGAATACACTCGCCTGAGACGAGACAGTGTTTGTGTCTTGTTGAAAAGACGCATTCTCGTCTGTTTCTTCTTCTTGCAACCGATTTAACACAGTGGTCCTTTTTCTGTTTCTCGCGATTCTGATACATTCTTTCAGAACTGACGAAGGCGTAGTGATGGGACTTTCATGCTCATTGTTTTTCGCACATTTGCTTTCGCTAGCGAGGGTAGGGTACCGCAAACTAGATACGTCTCCCTTGAAACTATTCCTTGACATGTACTCCTGGACAAGAGTTCTCCCTTCTCCAGCAGCATAAACAGAAGAAGAAGAATACTGTAGACCAGGTTTTCTTCTACGGTCAGTCGGGCTCACAAGTCGCCTGATGTGCTTGAACTGCAAAGAACATACTGAGATACTCAGGTCACTCTCAACGGACTCAGTGCTGCTGACATTGGCTTTGGGGATTGCTTCATAAACTGGTGCATTGTCTTTGGCACTGGGGTCGGAATTTGCAGCAGTATTCGTTTTCCCTTCTTTCGACCGAACGCTTGATTTTCCTGCAGCATGATCTTTAACTTCAGGAGGCACTTTAGCATTTATTTCCTCGTTTCCTTCAGCCGTGCTTCTAACTACATTTTGTTCCGTTTTCGATGTTTCTTCCCCACAGACAGAGGAGAGCTTATTTATCTTATCACGACACTCAAAGTCATTGGAGTCTGTGGTGTCGGAGTTGTTGCCGTTGATTCTGCTGACGTCCACTAGGGATACCAAAGAGCAGTGCGAGCACGAAGACGCCACTGACCCAGAAGAACCTGGAAACAATGCGCTTATCTCCCTGCGGCGACTCTTCACATGCGGCACCATCAATTTTGACGGCCCGGCGCCTTCATCAATCATGTTCCTCTTCTTGTCGCGACGTTCGGAAACTTTAGTCTTAAGCTGGGAATCCACATTCGGTTTGAGTCTCCTGCATTTGTCATCGTCTTCGAGGGCGGCTTCTGACACGCTCCGGCTGACAATAAGGCCGTCGACTTCGACCCAGTAGGGGCTCCTGCCGTAGCCGAAGTCGCAGGTTTTGAGGACATCCCCGCGGTAACAAAGTCCTATGACCTCCGCCTCGTCCACTACGTCTGGAAGGGAAGTGCCAGACGTCTCCGGTAAGAGGAGAGCCAACATCGCTGCCACCAGGCACCCTGCTGCTGACATCAGCCACGGCACTGACGGGTAGGTCAACTCGGCCTGTTGTAATGATAAGTACTTAAGATATTCTTTATGAAGTGATTACGCACACACACACACACACAGGAGGACAGGAGGGTTAGAGGAGATATGATAACGACATACAAAATACTGCGGGGAATAGACAAGGTGGACAGAGACAGGATGTTCCAGAGATGGGACACAGAAACAAGGGATCACAATTGGAAGTTAAAGAACCAGATGAGTCAAAGGGATGTTAGGAAGTATTTCTTCAGTCATAGAGTTGTCAGGAAGTGGAACAGCCTAGCAAGTGAGGTAGTGGAGGCAGGAACCATACATAGCTTTAAGGTGAGGTATGATAAAGCTCACAGAGCGGGAAGAGTGACCGGGTAGCGGCCAGGTGAAGAGGTGGGGCTAGGAGCTGTGAATTGACCCCCCCCCAACCACAACTAGGAAAGTACAACTAGGTGAGTACACACACACACACACACAATACATCTGTATCATTTAAATTTGTGTACAGTTTTGTATAATAAATTATATACATAATTATGAATATAAAATATGGTTGTATACAGAAAGAGAGTCAAACTACCTAAAGAAAAAAATATCATATATGTCGTGCCGAATATTTA